GCCAGGTGGCTTCTATCGGTTTTCCTAGGGAACGCATGTTTCCTCTGTGGTCCTTCTCTAGTCCTGGAGAAGGGCATACGTGACAGGATCCTAGTGTTAGACCAAAGGAGACCTCCAAGGCCAACTCAACCAGCCCCTTCATCTTAGAGAGGAGGTCACTGAGGCCTGGCGAGGCTAAGGGCTTTGCCCAAAGTCACAGGGCTGGTAAGTGATGGAGCCAGAATTGTAACCCAGCTCTTCTGGGTCCTCTGCAAACCCAGTGCTCTTTCAAATGCACTGAGAGACAGAGCGATATGGAGATATATGTATCTATGTATGTATATTACATGTGTGTGTACGTACATATGTACATGTATATGTGGAAGGACAAATACTGAAGCTGAAGCTTAAACACTTTGGCCACATAAATGAGGAGACAGGTCTCATTAGAACAGCCCCTGATGTTGGGAAAGATTGAAGTCAAAAAGAGAAGGGGATGGCACAGGATGAGATGGATAGGTGGCATCATGGAAGCAATGAACGTGAGCTTGGGCAGACTCCGAGAGAGAGGGGAGGACAGAAGGGCCTGGCGGGCTGGGGTCCATGGAAGCAAAAGAGTCGTGTATGGCCGAATGACTGAACAACAAAGTGTGTATATGTGTGTGTGACTCCATAGATACAGACACACATTTGTGTGTGTGTGTATATATATATATATATACATATATATAGATATATAGATATAGATATAGATATTCATTTGTGTGTGTGTCTCTCTCTATACTCATATATGTGTATGTGTGTGTGTCCATAGATATAGGTATATATATTCATTTGTGTGTCTTTCTATATAGACACATGTGTATGTATATATGTGTGTGTGTCTCCATAGATATAGACACACACATTTGTATGTATATATATATATATAGATGTATAGATATTCATTTGTGTGTGCGTCTCTCTCTCTATATATACACATGTATATATATGTGTGTGTGTATGTATTTGTGACCCCATGGACCATAGCCCACCAGGCCCTTCTGCTAGTCAGACATGACTGAACAGCAACAACTATAGATAGAAATATAGAGATAGAGATAGAGACAGATACACATATATACACATAGACACATAAATTGAGGTCAGGGGTTAGAGAGAAAGGGGAGGACTGTAGCTGGAGATACAACCTCTGGGGCAGGTATCAAAAGTCCTTTGGCTCAGATATAGGAAGGATTAGTGAAGAGACCATAGACTTTTTTTTTGGACCAGAAAGGGATCCTAGAGATAGCCTAATTCAGCTTCCTCATTGCATGGAGGAGGAAACAGAGCGCCAGAGAAGTGAGGGGAGGTGACCTACTCAAGGTCACACAGAACAACGTTTCAGACCCGGACTTCCATCCATGTGCATTGCAGTCCCATTATGGGTGGACTGGAGAGTCAGGACTCCTGGGTTCTATTCTGGTGACTCAGGCAGGAACTTTGAATGAGTCATTTGCCATCTCTGCAGCTTAAAAATAACAACAATGAGAAAACAAACACCCCTTCATGATAAGAAGGGCCCAGCCTTGTGCAGACATAATTGGAGGGTAATTACCACTCTTGGGTAAAAATCACAAGAGATGAGGACCCAGGGCATGGAAAGGGGCTTTCCAAAAGTCCCAGGTCTGCCCGTGGGCTGGCCCAGAGGAGCAGGAGGCCTCCTGGCTTCCCCCCTTTGGATCCCACCTCCTGACAGGCCCAGCCCTACAGTTTCATCTTTAGAGTATCATCAGAGGCAGATGCATCTCCTGGAACTGAAGGTGACCTAGTTACAATCAAGTTCCCTTTGCAAAGGGGAGGTGGCAGCTGTATGACTAAGCGTTGCCACAGAAGCTGGAATCTGGGGTCCTTCTGCTCCAACACCCCTTCTTCATCCTCTGGGCTCAGCACCTTGGCTTCCTCTGTGCCCTGGCAAATAAAGGCTGGGAAGGAAATATCAGGATGATGAGGGCTTTGGAGCTAGAAGACCTGAGTTCAGATCCTAGCCCTAGCATGTACTGGCTATGTGACCTTTTCTGAGCTAGCCTTAAAACGCTAATAACATTTATACGACCCCTTAAGGTTTGCAAAGTGAACATTTACAAATGTTAATTATCTGATCCTCACAACAACCCTGGGAGGGAGGTGCTGTTTTTATCCCCTGACTGAGGCTGATGGATGAGGTTAAATGACTTGCTCAGGATGACACAGCTAGGAAGTAGCTAAGGCCTGATTTGAGCTCCAGTCTTGATTTCCAGCCCCTGCTGTATGCATTAAAGCACCACCTTCACCTTACTCTGTCTATAGAAATACGAACTGTTATTATTAATTCATAATAATATGAAGAATGTTCACATCAGGAACACTCAGTAAGGACATTATTATATTATCATTATTATTAACATTATCATATGTGTTATGTTATATATACTATATTAGCATTCTAGGATAATAGCTCCCATTTCTAGAGCCATTTAAGGTGGACAAAGTACTTTGTAAACATCTGGTGCTCACAGCCCTGGGAGGGATCATTGCTATCATTACAGCGGTGTGGAAGGTAACACAGAGAACACAGAAAACGAAGCTCTTTGCTATTCACGGGACAGACGCTATTCCACTCCTTTGGGACAGGTGGGAGCTCTCTTGGGCGCACCAGAAAGCCGAGAGGCGAGGCGGCTGAGCTCGGCCATCTCTCCTTTTGATCTCACCTTGCACTCTCTAGGCTGCAGGGCCCTCGAGCTGGGAGGGACCACGGAGGCCAGCTGGTTCAACCCCATCATTTTAGGGAGGAGGAGGCTGAGACCCGGAGGGGAGAAATGATGGACCCAGGGGCACAGAGCGAGTTAATGTCACAACCAGAACTAGAACTCAGCTTTCCTGATTCCCATCGCTGTCCGCACCTTTCGGTGCTGCTCGTCGCTTATCTCTGAGACTCCAACCAAGAGAGCCCGTTTTCCTGGTCTGGAGTGATGGAGAGGGAGAACGAGCCCCCACTGGCTCTCCTGGATCACTTTTGTGCTCTCAGGAGACCGGAAAACATGGCCCTCTTGTGTCCTCACCCTTCCACCGGGTCCGCCCACCCCCACCCGACTCTCATCTTTGGGGAGGCTGGGTGGCCCTACCCCAGCTGGTCGGTCGTATGTAAGGTTTTTCTTCTTCTGCGGCTGCTTGCCCCCTCCATCCCTGATTCAGATCTCCCCAGGAGATCGGCATTTCCAAGCCTTTCTGCTAGCCTGTGGGAAGGATACACTCCAAGTCCCCACCCCCATAACCACCCCTAGGGATCTCCTTCTCCCCTCAAAATGAGCATCCGTGGACCATTCCGTAGAACCCGACAAACGCTTCTGGCTAGGAGCCCCCTCCTAAATCTATTGGTATAGCCTGACTTTAGGCTAGAGAAGACTGTCCTGGCCTCTACCATTCGTTATGAAGGGAGGCACCATCATCATCCCCCCGCCCCCCAAGCCCAGTCTCAGTCACTGCTTTATGTATGCCTTTTAATTTGTTAGGCTGAGGGGCGGAGAAGGGAGGAAGGGATTGAAAATAGTTGTTTTGGATGCTCTTGATATGGGAAGAGGCAACGTAAGGGGGTATTAGGAAGGGAGTAGAAATGGCCAGAATTTAGGAGAAGGAAAGACTGCTGAGATGGAGGGAGTGTGGTTTGGGGAAAATCTTTCTCCATCCTCCATCAGTCGGAGCGTGCTGTTTCCCAGGGTGATTTCCCTAATAGATTGTAACCAGTCTGGTGGGATGCAATGAGTTGCAAATTTATAGGATTAAATAAAGAGGTTGCCCTCCCCCCACTTCCCACTTCCTCCTCCTCCCACCCCTCTTAGACAAATCTGTCACATCAATAGCCAGACTAGACTTATTATTGTTCTCTCTGCCTGCTTGCTTGTCTGCCTGTCTCTCTCTCTCTCTCTCTTTCTCTCTCTCTGCATTTTTCTCCCCCTTTTCTTCTATGAAGATCAGAGAGCTCTGCAGTCTCAAAGCTTTGTAGAAATGCTCTGTCCTCAGTGGATGCCAATGAATGCCCCTTTCTCTCTCTGACTGCCTTGTCTGCACTGGGTTCACATAATCAGAAGGTTAGACATGAGCATCCTTCCTCCCGAGAGTCAGATGCTCAGCTCAGAACTAAACAGAGACTTGGCCTCAGAGTCTGATCCCACTGGGGTATGCTCTTGGGACCTCTGGGGGCTCAGTCAGGTCTCCAGAGAGAACTGAACCCCTGTGGCTGTCTAGGTAGAAAGCACCACGTAAGAGAACCCCTTAGGTCCATGGAGACCACTGTAGTAGATGTAGGAAAGAGGCCACCTCTACCAGGCTGGGGGTGGGGGTTACAAGGACAGAATAATATGGAGTCATCTCTCCTCTCTGCTAATTACCCCAATTATCCTCATCACACACACACACACACACACACACACACACACACACACACCAAATGATGGAAGTGCTACAGTCCTTGGTCCTGTGCCCGAGCAGCCTCCCCATCTGCCCCCTCCCCCAAGCCCCAAATTCAGGAGCACTGAATTCACTCTCAGTAGAAAAGAACAATCACTACCCTTGCCTTCCTCCATCCACCCCAGTCCTCTCCCCTCCTTCCACTCCCCATGATTTTTAACATTGACTTCTGCTTGCTCTAGTATTTTTTTTTCAGGGGATTTGCTTTCCCCTTCCTCAAGGAGAAGGGCACTCCTGACTCATGTCAAGCTTCCATCCCAGCCCTCCATCCAGCCGCCCAGCATCCACCCCAGATAGACACACAAAATTATGCTTCTAAAGGAAACCTGGGGGGCAGGGGGTGAGATGGGGAGGGGTTTTCATTCCTATCTTTCAAAACCCTCTCTACAAAACCCGGTATGATCCCTGCCCCCCCGGGGACTAGCCCCACAGACATTCCTTCCCAGTTCTCATCAAGGACCCAGCCTCCCTGCCCCCAACCCCCTAGCCTCCCCATCAGGGCCAAATGATCATCCATCCACTGGCTGCTGGCTTACCTTGGGCTGTGGTGTCTGCCTGCCTCCAGAAGCTTTCCCCTTCCTCTTCTTTTGTACCCCCTGTTTCTAAGGGCCAGCAGGCAAAAGATGGACTTATGCTGTTTGATGTGTGTGTGTGTGTGTGTGAGCATGCAGCACCCCAGAGCATGAACTCACACTCACACACATCCACTCCTTCCTCCTGACGTCAGGGGGCCGAGTAGAGAGCAGGTGGGAGGGATTAGGCTGGGAACTTGGACTCTGGCTTAAAGAGACATCAAGGCCTTTCTTGTCCTTCTCCAGCCCAGGATGCTGATGGAGCCAGGGAAGGAGCTGCCCCAGAAGCCTTGGGCCCCTGTCATAGGGTGCCAGGGCCACTAGTGACACATGGGAGGAGCATCTTCTGAACTCTGAGATGTCTTGTTTTGGAAAGTGGCTTTTATTGCATGAGTCGTGTATAAATCACCTAGCAAGTCAGATGAAGGAAGACGCTAAAAAGCACTCGCCAACTAATTAGTGCTAATTAGCTGCAGTGGGGAAGGGAGAAGTCTGGGGTTGGGGGGCTCTGGTACCAGAATGTCCAGAAACCCTCACCCTGATCAGGCCTGGCTGCGGCAGGGTGGAGCCTGCTTGTCATATGCTCTGAAACAGTATCATGCGGGAGGACCAGAGACATGGGTGGACCAGTGGGTCTGAGGAGATATGGATGGACCATTGGGTCTGAGGAGACATGGGTGGACCATTGGGTCTGAGGAGACATGGATGGACCATTGGGTCTGAGGAGACACGGGTGGACCATTGGGTCTGAGGAGACACGGATGGACCAGTGGGTCTGAGGAGATATGGATGGTCCATTGGGTCTGAGGAGACATGGGTGGACCAGTGGGTCTGAGGAGATATGGATGGTCCATTGGGTCTGAGGAGACATGGGTGGACCATTGGGTCTGAGGAGATATGGATGGACCAGTGGGTCTGAGGAGACATGAGTGGATCATTGGGTCTGAGGAGACATGGAT